AACCCTAAACCCTGAGAACCTGAACCCGAAACCCAAGACCCTAAACCCCAAACCAGCTGTGTGGGTGCCAAAATTAACCCCAAACGGGGGAACATCCCAAGTGCGTGTCTGCCTTGGAGCCCGCTGGTACCCTTTTCCCTTTCCTGGGGGTTCAAGGTTCCTTTTTAAAGTAACCAACCCAAAAAAGAGTGCCCTTAATGTTGATATGGTTTCAGGGCTAAACCCTAAACCCTAAACCCTAAACCCTAAACCCTAAACCCTAAACCCTAAACCCTAAACCCTAAACCCTAAACCCTAAACCCTAAACCCTAAACCCTAAACCCTAAACCCTAAACCCTAAGCTTCTAGTGGTCTTGGGCATGCGAAGTTCAAGAGCCGAGGAGCATGTGGCAGAAGTCGCCTCATGCCTGCATCATTCAGACCTTGTTGCGTGGGTGGAAGGCCTGGAGGTGCATGGATGGTTGAGGGTTTAGGGTTTAGGGTTTAGGGTTTAGGGTTTAGGGTTTAGGGTTTAGGGATGGAGGGCGAGCCCGATGAGGCCTGGCTGCAAACAGGGCCAGCCCTAAGGCCCCCCTGGCCCTAGAAGGGTGTCATCATCTTCAAAGCCGGCCCGTTTAAACCCTAAACCCTAAACAATAAACCCTAAACCCTAAACCCTAAACCCTAAACCCTAAACCCTAAACCCTAAACCCTGAAGCCCTCCCGAACCCTCTAAATGAGTCAGTGCTTGGGGCTTGTGATGCTTAGAGTGCAAGGTTCCGATAGCTGAGGACTTGCAGGGCTCAGGGGTTCAGGGTTTACGGTTTTAATTTCCTTCCGAATCCCTCCATTTGGTCTGACTGGCCGGTGCGTGCCACCCTCAACATCCATGTGCACCCCAGTGGGCCCACCATATTGCGAGGTGCTCTACGCATCAGTACGGGGTGGCATCACACTCCACATATCCTGGGGCGATCTTGTTGCTGCGAAATGGGTCTGTGAGCAGGAGGGCCTACAGGTCTTCTTGCGGCAACGCGTTTGGGACTTAGGGCGTAGGGTTTCAGGATGTAGGGTTTAGGGTTTAGGGTTTAGGGTTTAGCAGAACGGAATCCCGCACACAGAGCCCTCCTCCCAAGGCAGAAGCCTCCGCGCTCAAAGAGCAAGCCCCCGTGGTTGCAGAAGTCGATCGCCGGAGGCGGCCGAGGGTTTAGGGTTTAGGGTTTAGGGTTTAAGGTTTAGGGTTTGGGGATGGTTTGGGGTTTAGGGTTTAGGGTTTAGGGTTTGAGGTTTAGGGTTCTATTTCGAGCTCCAGAAAGAGGTCAAACCCCTGCTGGCCAACAGTAAGAAAAGTGGAGCTCTCGTAGGCCATAAGGCCATAGGTTTTACAGACTTGTGGGCCTTTGAATGAAACGCGATTTTGACGATTGGTTGCTTCGTCGCGCCGCCCCTTGGTTTTATTTGCTGATAAAGCATCCCCCGTCACGAAAGCCCAGAGACTCAAAACTTGATGAAGCTCTTGATGAATGACAGGGCGCCCGTTTGATCCATCCGGGTTGTGCCGCGACCAGCTCATGCAGGCGAGGGTGTGGAGGGGCTGAGGGATGACCTGAGGGTAAATGGGTACAAGTAGTTCGGCAAACTTTCTCCAAGGCCCTACCTAGGTACGTAGAATCCCTGCCACTTTCAAAGTAGGTTAAGAGCGATGGCAGGGGTGGGAATCAGAGTGGCTGGTGTTGGCTTTGAGTCTCCGAGCGTTATGAATACAGTTGTGGTTCTGGGAAGCATCCATGAAGCGGAGCCGCATTTTTGCGATGGAGCCAGACTTTCCGGGTTCGGGGCGGAGCCTCAGCAGCCCTGGCTTGCAAAAAAAAGGTTGAGGGTTTAGGGTTCGTGCGAGTTAGAGTGGCGAAGCCCTAAAGCTCTGTTGCGGAAAGATGTAGTGTAACATGCTGCGGTCTACTGAGTGAATTTCTCCTTGGACACGTGTGCATAATCTCCAGTGCGGTTTCAAGGCGGGTGGCACAAAAACCCTAAACCGACTGCGCAGGAGGCCATATCGAATCGTCGAAAGCTCAAGGCGAACGAGTCGGACGTGCTTTTCAAGAAGGCCCGGGTAGAGCCAGGGTGCAGAGTCTCCGGAGGGAGGGAGAAGGTTACATTGAGTAAGACTTAAGGCGCAGTGTATGCTCAAATCGTCCGGCCTTGGTCGCTTCAATTGTCTCTGCCCGTTTCAACACGAATTGCGCATGGACCCTTCTTTCGACGCCGGCACCCTGCCAAATCCAAGCCCTAACCTTGAAGGCAAGCCCTGAACACTAAACCATGAACCCTAAACCCTAAAACCCTAAAACCCTAAAACCCTAAAAAAAAAACCCTAAACCCTAAACACTAAACCATGAACCCTAGGTTCACATACTGTTTGGTAGACCGGTCGAAGCCCAAAACGCCCTAAGCGTCCAGCAAACTCAACGATGTCAGGCAAACGCCGCTCGGGCACTGGCCCTAGATCGCCAGCGGGCTGAAGAGAAACGGAAGGAGCAGAAGGACCTGGTGTCTTCGAGCTTCAGTAGCTAAGCAAACTGTGCACAACGGGATGGGGCTGTAGTTGCTCGCAACATTCCTCCAATTTCGCCCTGGCTCAAGACTGGACTTGCCCTCCATCGGGCAGCCCGCAAAGGACCAGAATGACAATGAAGAGCATCTTCTTGGTGCTTGGCACTGTGAGCGGCCTGTCCTCCAAGGGCTGGGAATTTCCTCCCGATCCCGCCAAAGTCGCTTTGCCCGCAGTGCCCGCGGTACGAAATGCCGGAAAAGACGGCATGCCGGAGCTGCCATCTTTGGATGACATCATGAGCCCCACCTCCCAAACCATGTTTGGCATCCGCTCCAAAGCCAAACAGCTCGAGGCGAAGATGCTCAAGATCGAGCATGAGAACAGCCTGCGCCTCCAGCGCCAGAAGGCGGTCTTCGACCGCAAGTTGAAGGAGCAAGAAGCCAAGAACCAAGGTGTGGCCAAGGAGAATGCCGATCTGGCCAAGAGCATCATGCAGCTGAAGCAGAAGAACGAGGGCACCCTCGCCAAGTCCAAGACGCTGCGCGAGGCCATCGCGCTGCGCAAGTCGGAGGTCAAGAACATGCAGGAGCAGCTCGCGGCCGTGCAGCAATACATGGTGGAGATGTTGCACCTGATTCCTTGTTGAAAAATCCTGTTACATCTTTGTGAGTACTTAAAACCCAAGAAGGAACAACAATGGCCATTCTTAATATCACCCCAATACACTGGTGCAGGCAAGACACAGAGGAGAGCAAGGCGCCGGAGCTCGCGATCTTGGACCAGGAGCCCTAAACCCTAAACCCTAAACCCTAAACCCTAAACCCTAAACCCTAAACCCTAAACCCTAAACCCTAAACCCTAAACCCTAAACCCTAAACCCTAAACCCTAAACCCTAAACCCTAAACCCTAAACCCTAAACCCTAAACCCTAAACCCTAAACCCTAAACCCTAAACCCTAAACCCTAAACCCTAAACCCTAAACCCTAACTTGGACCAGGAGGAGAAGGCGGAAGAGGCCGAGGCCCGAGTCCTGGGGTCGAAGCCGAAGGCCTCTTCCCTGAACATCGCGGAGCCTCAGGGATGTTTGGGAACAATTTTCTTAGTGTTTGGGTACTACAATTCCTAAGAAACAGCTAGAATTAGGTTTTTTTTTTTGGGTTTTTTTCTTCTCCCGAGGGTTCCAAGTTCAGTTAAAGGAGCCGCGGCCCGAGGTGAAGGAGTCCGAGAGACCCGGCCTCTCGGGCCTCTCCTTCCTTGAGGTGGACGAGGAGCCCGAGGAGGCCCTGCCGGACAAGGCAGCTCTCTCCCCCCTTGGGAAGATTTTTTTGTTTATGTTCGTATGAAACTTAAGAGCATATTTAAGATATTATTCTTTATTAAGGTTCTGAGGGGAGCATAGGCAGAGGGAGGAGAGCCAGAGAACCCGGAGAACCTCCTTGGTGTGCTTGCAGACGGCGTGAAGAACATGAAGCAGCAGGGGGCGGTGACCTCCAATCGCTTGAAGTCGCTCTTCTTGTCCAGCTTGCAGGATGGCGTGAAGCGTCGGAAGGCCCTGAAGGCGCAGCAGAAGGTCTTGCAGCAGACGATGACCACCATGAAGTCCTACGAGGCACGGCTCGGAAAGGCCGAGGAGCGCCTGACCTCGACCAAGCAGACCTTGGACAAGCACCTCCATGACGCGGGGCTCTTCCTCAAGAAGCTCTCGCAGCTTCTGCTTGCGAAGCCGGAAGATGGCCAGAGAGAGCTGGCGGCCCTGCAGACAAGCCATTCCCTCTGAGTCCTGAGCCAAGGTTGAGCCTTTCGCTGTCTTTCGATCTTGAAACTTTCTCTTCGCTTTCGAGCTCGACATAGGTGCAGCGGTTCACCTGGCAAGGTTCACCTGGGTACCGCCTGCAGGGCTCCCGAGGCGTGAAGAGAAAATTGGGTGGGAGGCACACATCGAAGACTGAGACTGGATTGTGGGGTTCAGGGTTTGGGGTTTGGGGTTTAGGGTTTGGGTTTAGGGCCTCGCCGCTTGTCTGAGTGTGGGCGAACTCAACGCACGATCAATCCTTTGCCCTCCATGATGCCCGTGAAAATGAACCACTTGGAAGCTACTCTCACAACCTGCTTGAGTTCCTTCTTCAGAACCCTACACCCTAAACCCTAAACCCTAAACCCTAAACCCTAAACCCTAAACCCTAAACCCTAAACCCTAAACCCTAAACCCTAAACCCTAAACCCTAAACCCTAAACCCTAAACCTAAACCCTAAACCCTAAACCCTAAACCCCTGTGCCCGCTGTCCTTGACAGGAGTCCCTCCAAGATCTGAATGCCAGACGCCGGCTGGATGTCGAGAGGCCAGTCTGCAACTACTCCATCAACCCTAAGCGCACAAATCGAGATGTGTAGGGTTTAGGGTTTCGGGTTTAGGGTTTAGGGTGTAGTGTTTAGGGTTTAGGGTTTGGGGTTAGCAAGTCGAAACCCTGAAGCCTACAGCCTAACCCTAAACCCTCACCAGATGCTGCGGTTCGGCCACTGGCGCGGGGGCGAAAAGAACCGTAACCCGAAGCCTTAGACGCAGGCAGCTGACTCGGATTTTCGTGCCCATCCCGCGTCCGCACGAGCACCTTCCACTCTACTGCCAGCGGCTCAATGTGGGAGCCCCAGGTTAGGGCCCAGTTTAGGGTTTAGGGTTTAGGGTTTAGGGTTTAGGGTTTAGGGTTTAGGGTTTAGGGAGCCCATCTGCATGTGATGCATGGGCTGAGCCCTGTATGAAGCCTCTGCAAGGGTGCTGAGTCCTAGCCGTAAATTAGGGTTTAGGGTTTAAGTTTAGGGTTTAATTAGGGCTTAGGAACAGGAGCCCTGAAGCAAAAGGAACAGCCTGGGTTCAAAAAGGGTTTAGGAACAACGAATGAGTCAGGGGTCAGGTCTGGCTCGTCTTCAAGTCCAGTTGCAAAAAGGAAATTCTTGTTCTCTTTGTGGAGGCTGGTGGCCTTTAAGCTCCAAACCTTAAACCCTACCATCTGCAAGTGTGAGAGTCACTTGGTTGGGCTTAGGGTTTGGAATTCAGCGTTTGAGATTAAGGCTGGAGGTGCAGAATTCGTTCAGGGCTTGCTTATGCTTAGGGTTTAGGGTATATGCTTCAGGGTTTAGGGTTTGGAGTTTAGGGTTTCTGGCAGAAGTGAGTTGAGGGCTTCGGGTTTAGCCCAGGAGTTCCTTCGCTTCTTTTCAGTCCTAAGCTGAGGCAGATCTCACTGTCACCACGAGGCAGGTGCGGAAGAATAAGGCTGCAAAACCTGAGAAGCCTGGCGGCATTTTGTCGGGTTGCGGGTTTAGGGTCTATGGTCACCCTACACCCTCAACCCTAAACCCCAAACCCTGAAGCGGTTCTAGGGTGCGTGGCTTCAGGGTTGGGGTTTCTGCAGTGAATATTTGCACGGAGCGTTCACTGCTTTTCTGGAAGATTTGAGCTTAATGCCCCTGATGAGTAACGCTTAGTTACAAATTGTGGGAGTATTGGGCTCTGGGTCGTGCTATTTGAGGATAATGGGTGAATAGGCCCCAAGCCCTGAACCCTAAACCCTAAACCCTAAACTCTAAAATCGAGAAGTGTACAAAAAGAAACCCTAAACCCTAAACGAGGCAGATTTTGTTTGTGGAGATTGACAGCGCCCATCAGCCACCTGGCGCCTACTGCGGAGACTTGAGCCCGTGCGCTCGTGGAGGGGAGTTAAGCTACCCGAAACCCGAAGCCCTAAACCCTAAACCCGAAACTCTAAATCCTAAACCCTAAACCCGAAACCCGAAACCCTAGACCCCTGAAAGCCAGCCCCCGGACCCGGGTGGCCCAGATCTCCTGCTTACGGGTTTAGGGACTTAGGTGTTTGCATATGAAGTAGGGTTGATATTACTGTTTTTGGTGAGTGTATATAAGGTTCCTTTTTAATATTGGTGAGTGTATATACCGGGTGTCCTTTTGGGGGTACAAGAAATGTATACCCTACTTCATATGGTGCAGTTCTCTGAATGAAGGTTTTGTTTTTTTAACGCTAGGGTTGGGATGTTCCCCCTTATGCTACCAGTTCTTCATAGGGATGATAATAGGGGGGTACTATCATCCCTATTAAGGACTGTTAGTTATAAGCGGGGAAAATCCCAACTGAGCACAACGAACCCTGCGGCCCTGCGCCTTCGCAGCCTGCGTCTGGGCCTCAAACCCTGAGCCCCTGTGGCGCAAAACACCACCAAGCGCCCAAGAGTCCGGAACCCCTCCATTGGCTTTGTAGGGTTCAATGATGTTCAACGATGTTCAGTGGGTTCATGGGTGTACAGTGGGTGCCCCTAAACCCCAAACCCCAACCCTGAACCCTGGTGCGCAAACAAAACGGGTGTATAGGAGGTCCAAAAGGGCCCCCATGGTGAGGCTGGAGATGCTGACGCTGTGCAACCATTACTCCTCGCTAATGCGACCTTTCGTGCAAGCAGGCCGTGGGGTGGTGAGTTGAAGGTTTAGTTTAGGGTTCAGGGTTTAGGGTTTAGGGTTCAGGGTTCAGGGTTTAGGGTTTAGGGTTTAGGGTTTAGGGTATAGGGTATAGGGTTTTTGAGAGCTCTTTCGGCTTTTGGGTTGAGGGTGAAGTCCGGTTTCAGACAAAGGCTTCAGGGTCCGGAGAGTTCGCGGCAGCGTCAGCACGAGACCAGCTAAGTTCGTTGTGTCCCTGGCCTTTTCTCCGAGACTTCGTGTGGCACACCCAGGATGCACCGAAGTTCTGTTGCTCAAAGGGATCTGTTGGGTTTCCGGAGTTGGCCTCCACGTGAAGCGTAGTGTTGCCCCCCAAACCCCTAAGTACCCAATCCCTGAGCCCTGTGATCCACAAAGTTGAGGTGCCCCGAATCCTAAACCCCCAAGCCCTATAAACCCCAAATCCGAAGAGCCCCAAGACCTATAAACCCATAAACCCTGTAAATGCTGCAAACCCTATAAACCCTATAAGCCCCACAAACCCATAAAACCCACTAAACCCCATGAACCCTGTATGCCCCAGAAAACCCTATAAACCCTATAAAAACCCATACAAACCCATAAAACCCTCTCAACCCTAAAATAACCCTCCAAGCCCGACACCCTCGTCAATGTTGTGCAGGTGAAACCGAGATCGGCGCAATCTTGACACGGCCTGCCTTCTGCAGAGCTTCGGCCGAATGTCGACGTCTTCGGGTTGAGGGTTTAGGGTTAGGGTTTAGGGTTTAGGGTTTAGGGTTTAGGGTTTGGGGTTTGGGGTTTGGGGTTTAGGGTTGAGGGTTGAGGGTTTAGGGTTTAGGGTTTAGGGTTTAGGGATCTTCAGCTCGAACGCGCCTCGCTTAGGGCCACGGGCGTGGGGTTTCGTCCAGTTTGACAAGGGCTTAGGGATGCTCCTCATGGGTTTTTTGAGGTTTCTGCAGTCCTGCTTGGAGGTTCATGGGCACTTATAACCCCAATATAATTGCAACCCATAAGTCCCTAAATAGGTTGTAAGTAGCCTCATAAGCAGGGTTTTAAGTACCCATGAACCTCCAAGCGGGTTAGAAGACGGGTGTTGAGGGGTTACTAGATGCTTTAGGGGTTAGGGTTTAGGGTTTAGGGTCGGATGGTGTCTGTAGGAGGATGAGGGCTTTAAGCCCGAAGCCCTCATGTCATGCTCGAGTTCCCCTGTAAGTCCTTCCTCTAGTGCCTTCACGTGACTCTTAGACGCGGAGCTCCTAGTCTGTTGTGACACTTCGGGGCATTTGGTTTGGGGTTTAGGGTTTAGGGTTTAGGGTTACCGTATTTCGTAGTTGCCCAAGCTACAGTTTTGCTTGATTCGAGGCAGCTTGGACATCGCTGTAGAGCATTAGGCTGTTTCCGTGTAATCTGAATGCACGTGGGGGGTTGGCGCGCAAGGCGGGGAAGGCTGTCAAAATCAAGCTTAGGGTTTGCGTGTATGCTGTTTGGCGTTGTGGTGCGCAATGCTGCAATGGTGTTGGGTTGGGTTGGAGGTGTAGGGTTCAAGGTTTAGGGTCGGGTTTCGGGTTTCACTGTCATCGTGAGGGGTTTGTGGCTTGCGTATCCCTGCGCCGACCTCCACATAGCTGCGAAGCTTCAGGAATGTTGATCGAGCTCGCCTTTGCTGATACCCACGGGGGCATCATGTATCACACCGCCATCGACATCTTCGACGGCCTAGCTGCGGGGGGCTCAGCCACAGCAGATTTGGCCTTCAAGTGATATCCCTCCCACGGAACCCTTATCAAGCAGCCACGGGGGTTTCTGACACAATTAGGGGTCCCTCCATGAAGGTCCGAAAAAGGGTATATTTGGGGGTACAAACCCTGCTTGCTGTGCCCAGCCAGGCCCAGCACTCCGTAAAAGGCTCGCCGCTCACGGGGGCGTGGCCGTGCTGCAGCGAGTTCAGACGTATTCCTCCAAGGGGGTTAGGGTTCGGCAGCCTCTAGTACATCTCCCATCAGTATGTTTAGGGTTTAGGGTTTAGGGTTTAGGGTTCGGGTTTAGGGTTTAGGGTTTGAGGATCCATCAGTGCTAGAACCCTGAGACACTTTCTTCCCTCAGAGCCAGACCCCGATGTGTCCCGTCCGTAATGCGGGGAGGCCAACGTTAAGGCCCCAAACGTTAGCCTCCTCCACCCCCCCGCATGTCATGCAGCAGCATGTTGTAGATTTTCGTGGGGATATTTGGAGGTTGAAGGAGGTGTAAGTAGGGTTGGAACTTGAACTACCTGAGTTTCGGTTCAAATAGCAGTTGCTCTACTTACAAGTTGTACGGCTGCACGCTCATGACCACCCATGATCCATGAACTTTTTTGGTAAGGGGTGTAGCGGGGCGCAAGCGCAAGCCCTAAACTGACTGATGCTTTGGGAGGAGTGGGGAAGATTTGGGGTTGCGTCTCGTGAAGCCACCCAGTGGTAAACTTGACCTGCAAACTGGGCTCCCTAAACCCTAAACCCTAACCCTAAACCCTAAACCTAAACCCTAAACCCTAAACCCTAAGCTCTAAACCCTAAACCCTAAACCCTAAACCCTAAGCCCTAGAACCCTAAGCCCTGGGGCAGAGTGAATGCTGGCTTAGAAGGTTTGACGCAGAACCCTAAACCCTAAACCCTAAACCCTAAGCCCTAAACCCTAAACCCTAAACCCTAAACCCTGAACCCGAAACCCGAAACCTGAAACCCTAAACCCTAAACCCTCAACCCTAAACTCAAAACCCTAAACCCTAAGCCCTAAACCCCAAACCCTAAACCCTTAACCAAACCACCTATCGCGGCCTCCGAGGACTGTCCTTGGCATCCCGGTCGACGACCCTGAGCCATTAACGAGTTGCTGTCGGGTCTTGAGGTCTATGGTTTAGGGCGAGCGGTTTATGGAGTGTCTATATACGGATAGGCTGTGGAAGTAAGGGGGATTTGAAAAGGGCGCAGACCCGAAACTTTAAGCCCCCCCCCCCTAGCGACTCCTTTCGGATGAGACTTCAAGGTTTTAGGGTTTTCGGGTTGAGGGTGCCTCCGAAGAGCGACCACGATGTCAAAACAACCCCCCTCTCCCCCCTTCCCCGTCACCCATCCCCGGACTTTCTCCACAACCCAGGACCACAGCGATCGGATCATTGGGCTTTTTGCCAACATCTTGGCACAAGCAGCCTGGTAGCATTGTCTGCCCGCGAAACCCTGAATACCTGGGTGCATGCCAAGGCATCTTATATGTTTGCAGGGCCAAGTTGGGGTCGTGCCGGTTATGGTTTAGGGCTTAGCGTGTAGGGTTCAGGGTTTCGACCAAAGAAGCAGACAAAGCACCTGAAGTAGTGTATGGAGCGAGAGGAGTTGATGGAGTGTTGTTTCATGACATACTTGGAGGTTTAGGGTGCTTATACCCCAATTAAAGGCGTAGTTCTCACCCACCTGCAAGCCCCTTAAGTACCCTAATGGGGTTATAATTGGGTTGTACGTTCAGTTATACTTGAGTTACTAAGTACCCTGAACCTCCAAGTACCGTTGGTGGATTTCATTGTTAGCCTTGGGAAAATCAGCGATGAGGAGCATTTTGCTTTGGCAAACTCTGTGTGCTGAAAGGGGTTTAGGGTTTAGGGTTTAGGGTTTCGGTTTTGGGATAACAAATTTTGAACGCCTGGCGTTGTTGCCCGGCATGGCTGGTCAGCTTGGCGTGGCAACTCCTTGTAGGAGCCCGCGTGCCCTGGGGCAGTGCTTCGTCCCAGTAGGGGGAGTTCAAAGCCCACACAAAAAGGCATACGTCTCTTGATACGTGCATGTATGCAGAATCCTCCCCGCATGCATGTCTTAAACCAACTGGCGGCCAGCAACCAAGAAAGCCGAACCGAAAGCTTGCCACTTCCACAAACCCGTCTTCAGGGTGTTGCGGGTTTAGGGTTTGCTTATATAGGGTTTAGGGTGATGCAGAAGGGTTCAGGGGACATCTCTGTGGGTGTTTTTTAGGGCTTAGGGGCACGGGACAGGCGTTGGTGTCGATCACCTCCTTAGAATCGGGTAGAGTGCGAAGCCCATAGCAACAAAGGGTTTAGGCACGTCATACTGTAGAGTTCTGGTAGAAAACGGGCTTGGGGCCTCAGGCTCAACAGCCCAAACTCCCTAAACCCTAAACCCTAAACCCTAAACCCTAAACCCTAAACCCGAAACCCGAAACCCGAAACCCTAAACCCTAAACCCCCCAAAAAAGGTTCGACAGCTCAAATTCAGTTCCACCAAAAGGCCGCTCGCGAGAGCAAGCACGGCGTGACGGCCGATGAGTTCAAGGTTCTTTCAACCGACTGGACAAAATTAGGGTTTGGGGTTTAGGGATTTGGGATTTAGGTTTTAGGGATTTGGGATTTAGGGTTTAGGGTTTTGGGTGTAGGGTTTAGGGGCTTCCCAAATGAGGGTCCCATCTTTGGGTACGCCACATAAAAGGAGCTGTAGAAGACGGGGTACCCAAGAAGGGACCTGTTTCTAGAGAACTGGACACATATCGGGTTTGGGGAGGGTGGGGCTTTTTTGACAGCCGAGTCTACACTGAAGCCCGAACCCTGTGATGAACAGCACAAGGCCCTAAACCCTTTAACCCTTAACCTTAACCCCTAAAACCTGAACCTTAAAACCCAACCCTGTTCATCGATTGCCTCCGGGGTTGATGGTTCAGGGTTGCAGTCTCCGAGCCCGTGTGATAATGGTCGGGGTTTCAACGGTTTAGGGTTAAGGTTTTAGGGTTGTAGGTTTTAGGGTTAAGGGTTAAGGGGTTCAGGGGTTTTAGGGTTTAGGGTTTAGGGGTTATTGGTTTTAGGGTTCAGGGGTTTTAGGGTTTAGGTTAAGTGAGACTTGATGGGGTGAGCTTTGCGTTGGGCTTCGGATCCCGTCCTTCGACCCCGGTGCACCCCAGAACTACCAATGTTTTCAAGTCTTTACCCTCCCCATATCGTGTTAGTGTAAGCTACCCACAATACTCATTCTACTGATAGGAATGCTCAGTACGACGGCATCATGCATTCGGTGCTGAACACATTGGGACTTACTTCTTGAGCGCAATTTCTCGCGCAACTCCACGTGAGATGCTCCGAGTGTGCAAATCTCTCTCTCTCGTGTCACCCTGAACCCTAAACCCTAAACCCGAAACCCTCCGCAGGGTTAAGTCGAGGTCTCCGGGAGTGGACACGCTGGTAGGAGCGCGCCCCGAAAAGGTTGCGGACCCTGGAGGGGTCCCCTTCATGCGAAGGTCTGCGTCATTAACAGATGCTTACGGCCGGAGCACGATCATGCTACTTCCAAGAGTCAGCAACAAACCACCCAACATCGCTCCTAACACTGAAATCACAGCGGACTCTCACATGCTCCGACACGCCTCATGCAGCCGCAACAGACTGCTGGCTGGCTTCATACTGGCTTCACATTTGTGCTCAAAGGGTGCTTGTGTGCGCGCAGTGCGGGTGGCGAAACCCGAAACCCTAAACCCGAAACCCTACACCCTAAACCCTAAACCCTTAATGCCCCGATTTCGGTCCGCTTTACCCCACAATACTCATGCTAGTTTAAATGGGGGCTTCCGAAAATAGGGGTACCCTTTTTGTGGGTGGGGTTTAGGGTTTAGGGTTTAGGGTTGGGTTCAGGGTTTAGGGTTTAGGGTTCAGGGTTTCGGGTTTGGGGTTTGGGCTTAGGGTTTAGGGTTTCCGAAAATAGGGGTGCCCTTTTTGGGGGTCCCTTTAAGGGGATTCTATTCTATTTGGGGTACAAAAGGGGGGGATACCCGTATTTTTGGAAGTAACCAACCAGGCCCCTAAACTAACCAGGCCGAAGGACCTCAAGACACCAAGGGGGCCAGGACAACGTAGACCAGCGCCAGGCGCATCTTTTCGATTGCCTTATGCCAGCTGCAGAGCGGAAGTTTCGCCGGAGGCCAGCAAGGGTTTTGCCGATACGGCGGTTGAGGTACGGTGGTATGAACGGAAGATCTGCTTGTAAGCCTTAGGGTCTGCATGAGCCAGCCAAGCACCGTAAAGCCCTAAGCCCTAAACGCTAACAAAGTCGAAACCCAAACCCAAAGCATGAAGCCCTCAACCCTCAACCCTCAACCCTCAACCCTCAACCCTCAACCCTCAACCCTCAACCCTCAACCCTCAACCCTCAACCCTCAACCCTCAACCCTCAACCCTCAACCCTCACCCTCAACCCTCAACCCTCAACCCTCAACCCTCAACCCTCAACCCTCAACCCTCAACCCTCAACCCTCAACCCTCAACCCTCAACCCTCAACCCTCAACCCTCAACCCTCAACCCAACCCTCAACCCAACCCTCAACCCTCAACCTCAACCCTCAACCCTCAACCCTCAACCCTCAACCCTCAACCCCTCAACCCTCAACCCACAACCCTCAAACCCTCAACTCAAACCCTCCTCAATCAACCCTCAAAAACCCTCAAACCCCCTCAAACCCTCAAACCCTCAAACCCTCAAACCCTCAAACCCTCAAACCCTCACCCTCAACCCTCAACCCCTCAACCCTAACCCCTCAACCCCTCAACCCCTCAACCCCTCAACCCCTCAACCCCTCAACCCCTCAACCCCTCAACCCCTCAACCCTCAACCCGCAACCCTCCACCCTCCACCCTCAACCCTCAACCCGAAACTGAAACCTGAAGATGAAGAGCATGGGTTGCTAAGGCAGAGACACATCGCCGCGCAGCTGGCGTATGGCAAGGCGCGCGACCCCAAGCCCTTGACCAGCCAGCCTCTTGGGTTTAGGGTTTCGGGTTTCGGGTTTCGGGTTTAGGGTTGGATAGCCGCCAATGTACGGCAAAGTGAGTATACCAAAGAAGTAGACCTACTGAGAAGGTCATCCTCACTGGCCTCCCCACTCCTGACTTGCGAGCCTTTTGCCATCAGGCGTTCTGTGGTGACAAGGGCTTGGGGGTTGGGTTGAGACCCTAAACCCTAAACTTCATAAACCCCAACCCTAAACCCTAAACACGAAACCCTCAACCCTAAACCTTAAACCCTAAACGGAGATTATAGGGCCTGAAATGGAGTTTGCGAGCCAACAGCCGCACAAGCAGGACATCTACCGGATGCCGCTGGGGGCAACCGGGCCTCAAATGGAAGAAGAGGCACTCTCTAAACCCTAAACCCTGAACCCTAAACCCCCTAAACCCTAAACCCTAACCCTCAACCCCAAAACCCTACAGCATTCAGGTTCAGAGTTCAACTTGAGGCTTTCCCATGAAATCCAGCGGGCAGGTTCTTCTAGCCTAAACGCCACGCAGCCCAGAGCCCTGAATCCTGGCAGGGGTTTGGAGTTTAGGGTTTAGGGCTTGAGGTTCGGGTTTAGGGTTTAGGGTTTAGGGTTTCGGGTTTAGGGTTTAGGGTTTAGGGTTCGGGTTTAGGGTTTAGGGTTGACATCTTACTTGTCGTGGGTTTCTGGACGCCTTGCAGCAGCTCACGGGACTCCGAAGCGCCGACTAGGCTGCTCAATTCAGGGTTTAGGGTTTAGGGTTAGGGTTTAGGGTTTAGGGTTTAGGGTTTAGGGTTTAGGGTTTAGGGTTTAGGGTTTAGGGTTTAGGGTTTAGGGTTTAGGGTTTAGGGTTTAGGGTTTAGGGTTTAGGGTTCAGGGTTTAGGGAGGAAGCAGGTGAAAGTTGCACTCTTCTATTTTTTGGTTCAAGAACCCCCTCCGAAAATACAAACTGCTCTTCCTTATGAGGGCAATGAATGGGTTGTAATCTTGTGAGTTCTCAAGCAAGTAGCAAGCCCCGGAGCCCCTTTCCGCCCAATAAGCACGATAAGTTGGGATGTTCCACCTTGTACTAGCAGTCCCTAATAGGGATAATAGCGTCCCCTACTATACTCCCGATTAAGGTTAGTATAAGGGAGGGGGACATCCCAAACGATAAGCCCTGTAAGCCTAAACCCTAAAACCCTGAAGCCCTAAACCCCTAAACCCCTAAACCCTAAACCCTAAACCCTCAACCCTCAACCCTAAACCCTAACCCCATCTATATCCAGAACCAAGCCTTGACTGCCAGCTGGACGTCCTGGAGGGGAAGGCAGACAAGGGCGATCCTTTCGCCCGGAACGCGACCAAGACTCGTTCCGTCACGGCCTCGAAACCGGGGCTCCTTCTGTTGAGACGTTGAGGTAAGGCAGGAGGGTTTAGGGTTTAGTAGGGTTTAGGGTTTAGGGTTTAGGGTTTAGGGTTTAGGGTTTAGGGTTTAGGGTTTAGGGTTTAGGGTTTAGGGGGATGCTTGCCTTGAGGTGGGGATAATTACCTTGATATCCAAAGACCAGAAGTCAATATTCTCGACTTTGGGCGGGCCGCGAGCCCCGAGACCCTTCCTAGAAACTGTTCACAAGCAACCTAAACTCTCAACCCTCAACCAGGACTTCAAGCTTTTGGGCCCAGCATCCAAGACCGTGCTGGTCAGCACAATCCTAAATGTGAGTGCAGGCCTGTCCGTGAAGATGTTGCGTCAAGTGTTTTTGGTGGCGTAGGGTTGCAGGGAGGGTTGGATGCATGTGCGTATGCATGTACGTAGGTCAGCATTAGCAAGAACGAAGAAGTATCTAAGGTACATGACTCAAATCTAAACCACTATGGCCAACAGAACCTTTCAGTGCAATCTTTTCAAATTACAAATATGCATGTATACATACATGCAGTTGCGCACAAGCATCTTCACATACGAAAGTTTCACGGTTGCATCTGCTTTGAGAGACAGATATGTGGGATGTTAGCGTTTGCCGTTTACACGCAAGAATTTGGCATTTGGATATACTCACATGTGTACACATGCATTCACACATGCTTGCACACGTGCTTGCACGCGTGCTTCATGCTACATACATCCACACATACATTATTTGAGCTTTTTTTTCGGGGTTTTTGGGTTTGGGCTTTCAGCTCCTGAGACGAGGGTTGGGTCTGAGAAATGCTA